AACAGAAACACTGAACTACAACTGTCGCTAGTGAGTTGAGACACAGACACATCGTATCGCTCAATCAAGTCATGATGGTGACTGTAAAACTTATGAATTGTCGAATTCAGTCGTTCCTCTTCATGAATCTTTTGAAGCAGTTTTTGTTTAAGGAGCATATACCATTGTTGATTAAATACGTTTAGGGTGTAAACATGCACAAGCCTAAAATATCAATTGAGATATTCAAACTCTAAACGACTTGGCATATGCAATGTTACTCTTCAGAAATGGGTAAGAGAGAATTGGAAAGTAAATATCATCCAATCTGAATCTCAAGTTCAATGGAATATATGATATGCAAGTATTCACTGAAAAATGGGTTATTGAGTGACATCATTAATATATCTGAAAGTAAAATTAAAGAGCGTTGAAATATACTGTTTTCTGTCTTTGAGAACGTTCTGTATGTATTTCTCTACATACGTACAAAAACAAGTCAGCAAGAAGACACATCTATTGTTATATCGTACTGTTTGTTAACATATTAATCCACCAAATTCAACAAATATGTTCTCGGTCATAGTGATCATCATTTTGATGATATCAACTTCGATGTAATTGTTGTTGGAATCAATGTGGTTCTTCACAAAGACAGTTTTTTTATGACCTACAAGAAATGTATATGTACGAGCCCCATTGTTGTAGAAAAAGTTTTGTTTTATCAGGCGAAAAAGTCGATCTTTTCTTTGAGCATGGGCATTTGGAGTGGTTAAGCATTGGAAAAAAAATTACATAATGCTGCAAAAAGATTGTGATTGAAGATTACATGTGTAGGTCTTAGATGGAAAAGGCAATACAAATATTATTTAAATAAGTTCAAGTTGAGCGGTGTTATAATACATTTATTGAAGAATTCTTTTTAAAAAATACGTTTCAATCATGTTAAGAAAGTATAACAAAAATACCGAACTCCAAGGTTTATTTAAAAAGGGGAAAGTCCATAAAATTTGACTAAATCGAATGTTAGACTTAATCAACCAACAGAACGAATGTTAAGTGTCAATAGTTTTTATTCACTCCTTTTCGGACTAACAAATGTATGTTAAACACTATAAAGATTAAAGATGAATTCTGTTCTGTTTATGAAAAACAACCAAAAACATCATTGGGTATCATAATATTTAAGTTAAATAATTTGAGTGTCACGTTTACTTTTAGACACACATCAACGAATGTACTGACTGCTATTTGTTGAGGGGAAGAACATCAATATACTGACCTAACATCTGCGGCAAATTTTTGACATCTAAACAAGATCTTATCGTTGTATTTTGTAAACAAGTATATTGACCTGTGATATTGAGAAGTAAGTGTAACATCAGACTACTAAGATGTGTTAAACATCTTGTCATCTTAGGATTATATTAAGGAAGCAACTGCCTAACATTTTATGGCAAATGACATCAAAATAAGATATCAAAGAAAACATATTAACCCGTAATCTGGACGGTATAAATGGCATTTTAACATGTTTGTTGTCTATGAAAAAAGTAAAATAACAAAAATACCGAACTCCAAGGGAAACTCAAAACGGAATGTCCTTTATAAAATGGCAACATCAAAAGCTCAAACACATCTAACGAATGTAAAACAACTGTCATATTCCTGACTTGGTACAGGCATTTCCTTAGAAACATGTTCATTGAAATATGTGGATCAGTTTTCCCCACCCTCACCAGAAATTAGTTTATTACAAAAGGTAGGTGAGAGATACCAAAGGGACATTCAAACTCATAAGTCGAAAATAAACTGACAATACCATTGAAAAAAACGAAAAAGAACCAAAGACAAACAACACACAACATAGAAAACTAAACATTGAGCATCACGAACCCCACCAAAAACCGTGGATGATCTCAGGTACTCCAGAAGGGTAAGCAGATTCTGCTCCACATGTGTCACACGTAAGCATGCATAAAGTCGCTACGTGTCATTCGGTGTCGTCTTGGATGTATCGTTCAAGACTTCAAATTCAAAATTCAATATTGCATTAGAATTTCAGGACACAATTCCGATTCAATACAGGATTAATTATTACCAAATCTTGAAATTGTATATCTCAGATATGTGTAGTTGTTTTGTAGTATTATAATCTCTATTCAATCAGTTGTGTTTATGTTTAAGACTATGTATTGTTAACGCCTGCAGGTGATTTTTCTTTGTATCACCCTATATCGTGTATGGAAACGGCAAATTTACACTCTGAAATTTTGCACTGAAATAGAAAAATGTTTTTCATTAATTTATTAAAATATCTTTTACTGTTACTGTCTTTGGGCATTTAAAAGACACACCAATGCATATTTCTGTTGCATTTTGTTAATTTTTTCGAATAATGTTAAAATTTTTTAATTAGGATTTGTAGCAAAAGGCAGATAGCGACTGACGACATATCAGGAAATTTGACGAACGTCGGATAAAATTGTCGCGCTGTCTTTAATTTTTCAAAGAGAAATACAACTACTAACGTACTGTAAACGTAGATTATTCCAAAAAATGAATAATGACGAATTACTGATAAAATTTTCCTTTTCAACTAAAATAGCTAGAATTATCTTGCATTTTTGCCAAATACTGCATGCTTACTGAGTATGATTGTATAAAGCAGTCCATCAACTTGGTAGGATTTATCAAAAAATGGATCAACAGGAACCACTAAAAAAAGGACTTGGTGGGAAATTCTAGAATTGTGCAAAAAGATACGTTTGAGTCATATCTATTATTCAAGATTTCTGTTACGACCAACTAAAACGCGAGACCGTGAAAATTGAACAAAAGGTCCCAAAAATGGAACTTGATGTTCAAATTCTGACAAAATTGTCTTGGTATTACTGAAGGTCACTTAAGATAGATGTTTCTATCGGACTGTAGAGGTTCAGGCACCCATATTTCAAAGTTCAAGTCCCACTGATTGTCTACATTATGTATTTTTTTATTGCTCATAAATTCAACTTCATTGATTATATATAAATATTGGTGCATTGTTCATCATAGCAATCAACCTGTATAGCTAGAAGAGGTGGTCTTTTTGAATCCGCAAACTGAATCATCAACAACAAAAGTAAAGGTGAAATGTGTTACAATGCGTTTTCTTTATAATTAATGGTTTCCGTTTAATTTTTTGTGCTGCTTAAACGATATAACAGTTTAACAAAATAACTGATAGCCATTTTAAAGAAATAACAGTTGATTCCCTTAGTTTTGTATAGTTTGTTTATTAAGAAGAGTATAATCTTATATGACACAACTAAAACTTGTATATATCAGATTGCTGCTCAATGCCAAATCAATATCTTTATAACATATGTTTAGTATGTCACCTAGACTAGCTCACAGGGCTTTTTTCATTGGTTATTTTCAGAATAAAATGTTTTTAATGAAGTTACCTTCTATTAATGTATTTATTTGAAATATAATTGTTTTCTATAAATGTCATATTTCGATCAGCGGTGTATTATACTACTCACTGTATTGCACATACATGTATCATAAATATACAGATGAATACTCTGATTATATATATAAGTATTTGTATGCTACTAAGTTTGTTTAATAATTAGGCCAAAGGTCTACATGTATGTACATACCAGGGATCACAATATATTATACAGTACAAAAGACAGCACCAACCAACAAAACACGATTTGACTGAAGAAAAAAAAGTATCAATAAAGACAAACAACAACAAAACAAAAACAAAAACCACGTGACCAGGATAGCTGGACTTAATACAGGCATCAAAAGTGGTAGGGTAAATCCATTTATGAGTGCACAAACACCATGTAATATAGCATCAAATAGGTTAAAATCTATAAGTACATGTAATTATTTTTAAAAATCAACCGAACTAAATTCGATTTCAGAATATATTTAACTTTTTATAACAATTAGTTTTCGATATACCTAAGTTGCTGATGAAGGTAAATCCAGAAAAGCACTTCGGATGCATGAAATCTGTAACGAGTTGTTTTCTTTCTTTGATACCCATTGATTACCATAATATAACGATTACTAATCGAAATCTTCGATATGTTACTAATTGATTGCCAAATAACAACATTTACGGTGTGATGACTGCTACTTGTTTCTGGCATGGTTTGTCACATTATCACACAGCGGTGGCCACTGCAGTGGAGCAAGACTGCCTACCTTTCAAGGAAACCTAAGACCATATCAACTTTTATACTTTTTTGGAATTTTAGGTTTTGATGTTTCAACTTCATATTTGATTAGGGCTTCCAACTGTTTTTGATTCGAGCGTCACTGATGAGTCTGATGACGACGAGACGACCATCTGACGAAAACACACTTATGAACCTGGTATCTTTCATGATTGTGTATAGCAAATTGTGTTTATTCAATCTTCAGTTATCAGATATTGTTTCGTTTAATTTTATTGATATATCCTTTTGACAATACTGACGTCAATCTTTATTTGATTAGTTTTTGAAACTGACCACATTTTTACTTATTGCACGTAAAGGGGATGCGAAAAACAGCAAAATGGATATTTAAACTCATAAGTTGAAAACAAATTGACTATGCCATGGCAAAAACCACCGACAAACGATGAAAGACAAACAGCAGTTACAAACCACAACATAGAATACTTAAGACTAAGCAACATGAACCCGCAAAAACCAGGGTGATCTCAGCTGTTCCGGAAGGGTAAATACCCGTCGTGTCGCCCATGTAAATTTAACATTAACATTTGTCATGTAACATTGCCATAAGTTGACCAGATAGCTCGTTTTTAAGTTCCTTTAGTTTGTTCCCTACATTTCCCCTCAGAACCCTAAATTTATCCAAAATACAAACTAATCTTTTTTATCAACAATTTGTCCCTATCCCAAATTCTAAATCGATAAGTCATCTCAGTCTATGAAATATCTTCTCTTCTTTTGAGGAAAAGTTTGGAATTTAATCTGTAAATGCTTCGTTTTTTATTATAGGTGAAAATGACAACCCTATCGATCATCACTGTCGTGTTGATAGCTGTTTCCTCAGCTGTAAGTCAAGGATTTTTTCAAGGAACTGTACCATCAGATGGAGCTAAGATATTACCTGTACCATATTATGTGCCATATGGAGTACCTGAAAGACAAACATATGGTCAAATTGTCGTATCACGTGGTTCTCGCTCTGGTGGATCAGGTGGATCGTTCGGTAATTTTGGAGGTAAGATATGTATTCGAACAGTGAGTATTGCCTTTGTAAAAAGCTTGTTCAATTTCACCAATTAACATTTGTTATCAATTGACAGTAAGATAGAGGAAACACATTTGTTAACAATATATCAATACAGAGGTGAGGCCAAAGCGTTTTTTATATATTCAATGTTATTAATGTTGTACGAATAAATGTATGAATTGATTTTTGTTGCACAAATGATCCAAATACTGTGAAAAATACTAGTTGGTTGGTAATATGATTTGAAATCCATTTGAAGATATACCCATAGCAGACAATCGACCTTTTTCGCTCATAGTTGATCAAATTGATAATCATAGGTCTGACGTCACTTCAGCACACGTTTAAGAAAAGTAAACCAATTTTCCTTGCACGAAAGCATTTATTTTGCAGTAAATATATTTCTATTTTTTTAAGCTTTGAACACTTGTATTTGACAGTATGATTTCATATACATACATTTATATAATTTATATAACATTGCATTTGTGTTATGACATTTACTTTGAAAAATAGTTTCAAGTTGAAGTCTGTAAGGAACAACAAAATCTAAAAACACACGTCTCTGATATCTTATCTTAACTCGGGATCATTAAGAGTTCGATATATCCGTTTGTCCATTTAAGATATGATTAATTATGATATGTTTGTGCTGCTGTTTCATTGCCGATTACTGTAATCTTTCCTGTATTCATATTTTGTTTATTCATATCCAAGTAAAAAAAAATTAGTACAACTTTTAAAAACCGAAGGAACTCCATAATGATTGGGATACATGTTTATAAACGCAGATTGTTTAGTTTCATTTTATTTCATTTTTGGTACTGGTACAACTGACAAATATGAAATCACTTTTTGAAAACCTCTTTGTCTAAAAAGAGATTTAAAAGAGATTTTGAGTTATGTCAACTTCAACAGTTTTTGTTGTTGTTGTTCTGTTACACCACTGTCCATGGTTAGGGGAGAGTTGAACACTCCCAAATATGTTTAATCCCGCCACATTCTTAATGTGCTTGTCTCAAGTCAGGAGCCTTTAGTAGAGTGGTTGTAGTTGGTTCATGTCTGTCAAATTTGTTTTTCATAAATTGTTTAGTTACACATTAGGTCGTAAGTTTTCTCGTTTGAATTGTTTCACATTTTTCATGTCGGGGCGTTTTATAGCTGACTATACGATATGGGTTCTTCTCATTGTAGAAGGCCGTACGCTGGCCTATAATTGTGTTCTACCACTTCATTTTAACTCTGATGGATAGTTGTCTCATTGACAATCATACCAAATTTCCTCGTTTTTATATAATTGAGATACTTGAGTTTTTGATTGACAACATATTTATATCATATGCCGGGCGTTTTTTTTCAACCTACAATCGGCATTTCCATGAAAACTAAATATGCTCATCGTCCTAACGTGTTACTCTATTCATATGAAAAAAATCTCACACAGTAACTTCATTGGAAAATAGAAGAAAAGCTAGCATATCCCTTTAACTTCATTCTCAGAAAAAAAAAATACCGTACTCCAAGGTGAATTCAAAAAAGGGAAAGTCCGCAAAAACTGACGAAAACAAACGTTATCAATTGTGAACTTTCCATTTGTATGTAGCAGCATTCTAGCAGCGCTTGCATACGGAGTATATATCTCCCAGTTCATACGATATTACAGAGCTTGTATTTCCTATCATTATTTCCTTGGTAGAGGGTTGCTGCTAACAAAGAAGCTATTAAACCAAGTGGTGAAGTTGAAATCACAACTTCGTAAATTTTACGGACGCCATCACGAGTTTGTTGACCATTATGGAATATCCGTTTTACAGATGACAGTGGATACGTTCCAATTGTCGTAACTACAATCCCGTCACCTTTTCTCCGAATGTGACCTACCGAATTAGACTTATTACTGAGTTTGTACTAACATGAGCAACACGACGGATGCCTCATGTGGAGCAGGATCTGCGTACCCTTCCGGAGCACCTGAGAATACTCCCAGTTTTTGGTCTTTTTCTTTTTTTAGCCATGGCGTTGTCAGTTTATTTTCTACTTATGAGTTTTAATGTCCCTTTGGTATCTTTCGGCTCTCTTTATCAACCAACAGAACGAGTAAAATACAACTGTTACATTCCTGATTTTTATAAGAAATGATAAACTTGATGTGTCAGAAAACCTTCCTTAAACTTCAGACTTTTTGAGACTGGAATGAATTAATTCAAGAATGAATTGAATGGCATGCTTTCGCTCAAAATAAGACAAACAAATTAAATCCTAGTTTAATCCACTAGCTTCTTAATTAACTTCATATACCAAGTCAACTATATGGCAGGCAACGAAACATTGATGTGAATAATGATATTTTGAGGATGTTAATCTCGAAATTGGCTAGTATAAATATGGACATTTAAAAATATATATAGCTGTTCGAATTGTTTTTCATCGTTTTAGGTATCTTTTCCCTTATCATTTGGGTGTCAATCCTATCTTCAATAATTATGTCATTACAACGATCACAACCGATGCAGCAAAGTACAATGGCGGAAACTAGTACTGACACTACTGCTAATACGGCGGTTGTAGCTGGAGCTGCCATGATGGGCATGATGGGTATGATGGCAGGCATGATGATGATGTACGTATCGTAAAATAATTTAATTTTGGATCTAACGAGTCTTCTGATTGGCTGAAAGTTTTTTGTCTATCAGCTCATAATTTTGTCATGTGACTGTGACGTCATCAACGTTTTTTTTTCATTATTAACTCCTTAACAATGGAATTTAGAATTAAATTATAATTTTTCTGTCTATTCAAAATAACCAAAAAAAATGTGGTGCACACTGAATAAACCCCGTAGTTTTTTAATGTTATTTCTTCATAGACAGCAAAATTATCACAGTCATTTCTTCAATTGATTTTATAAGCGTAGATAGTCAAAGCAGATGTCGAAGGTATATAGTACAGGTAGCGTCCTGTCGTTGCAAGCACATTAACTCATGCCATCCAAAATTATAAACTTGCTTTTATTTCCCTGTTCAAGTTGGTGGTCATTCTGTTTGTAGATTGACCTCAGGTTTCTTTTTTATTGTGTGTTTTATTTATAAAACTATGTTCATCATAGGTCTAGATATGTAAAGGTTAGTTCGTGTACACATGGTATTTTAAACAATAGATGGGTGACAAATTGTTAATTAAAAAACGAGTTTCCAATTATTAATTGAACGGTATGAGGCGCTATATGGCGAATAAAATATAGGTGTAAGGAGCGAGTAATATAATCAAACTATCATTTTCACTTGTGGCAAAACGAAAAGACAAATGTTCATATATAATAAACATACAAAAGGTAAAAAGGGAGAATTGATTCTGAAGTATAAATATAAACCATAATTGACAAAACTAATAAAAGCTCCGTAAACACTACACCAACTTAAGATTGAGCAAAACATGACCTATAAACAACGGCTATGGTCTAAGATGCTCCGGAATGGTTCGCTGTTACAGTTTCACTAGTAAGTGTTATAACTGTGTTATAATATAGCAATCAATGGGTAGTAGGTAGCAGAAATCGAATCGTAAAAAAAGAGGGACGAAAGATACCAGAGGGACAGTCAAACTCATAGATCGAAAACAAACTGAGAACGCCATGGCCAAAAATAAAAAGACAAACAGACAAATAATAGTACAGATGACACAACATAGAAAACTATCCGTTTTAAGACTAAGCAACACGAACCCCACCAAAAACTGGGGGTGATCTCAGGTGCTCCGGAAGGGTAAGCAGATCCGGCAAGCAATGGGTAGCAGGTTGATGTTCCTGTTATTCATTCTTTTTATGTATTCTGTGATTCCATGCATCAAAAGTATATATGACGGAATAAATTAATGCGAAAAGTGCATGTGAATATTATTTATGTCATTATCAACTTAAAATACGCTCAAGATCTAGGGACGCAACAAAATTTCAAAGTTATAACTTTAAAAATGTCCTGAGTAAAAGACCTCAATTTCGTACATTAGTTGAGTTTTTTTATTCGAGCATCACTGACGAGTCTCTTGAAAACGAAACACGCGTCTGGCGTACACAATTGTCATACTGGTATCTATGATGGGTTTATTTACACGTTTGAAATACGAATCTGCTAGGAAACGACTGCATGATAGTTTGAAATACCTGCAAGGACACAAGCTTGAGATTTTTAATTATATCCAAGGAAAAACAAGCTTCATCGCTTGACAATTTCAATTTCAATTTTGCAATTCAATAGTCGCTCCTAGTTTGACACTTTGAACTGGGTGTGATTTTATAATCTGTTCTTGGCTTGGCCCTTGGTACTGTAAGGCAAAAGATGAGACATTCAAACTCATAAGTCGAAAATAAACTGACAACGCTAAGGTAAAAACAAAAACGACATAAAGACAAACAACAGTATATAAAACACAATATAGAAAACTAAAGACTGAGCAACAAAAACCAAGGGTGTGATCTCATGTGCTCCGAACGTAAGTACTAAGTATTGAATGTGATTTCGAAATTTATTCCTGTTTCGTCGCTTTCACACTTTGTACTTTTGATGAGTTTGGGTACTAGTATACTTAATAACGGATGAAGTTTTGGATTTCGTTCCTGGCTCAACGCTAAGTACCAGATGGGATTTTGGAATCCTTTCCTAGCATGACACTATGTATTGCATGGGATTTTGGATTTTGCTTCTTGTCATCTTGTACTGGATTGTAGTTTGCCATCAAATGACAAGTGATACACGCCTACTTTAATCCCTCAACAGATGTAAGTGCCTCCTTGAAATTATAAATCTCCTTCGTGGTTGTCTTTTGTATTAATGATTTTGTCATTTTGTATAATTTTAGGTTGATGGCAAATTTTTAATAATCTTTGTTAAATTCGGGTAAAACTTTTTCGACTCGGGGTAATTTCAAGCTTTGAATATATTTTGTTATAAACATAAGGGGTCCGGAATTTGGAAGGTGTTTTCAATCATGTACTGTAAATTCAGAAATTATTGTGATGTTTTTATTAATGCGAATAATGCGACAGGGTGAGCAATGCAATAATAAGAACTCGCATTCTGATATCTGATTCATATATCTTAATGCACATTTTCCTGAAATTGCAATAATTAATCTCGCATTTTTGTTCATTTTTCAAAATCGCAATAATAAATGCATGCAATAATTTCTGAATTTACAGTATTTCTGTTTGTTTGTCCATTAGTCTATGTTATGTTAATGTTGATATTCCATGTCCTATATTTTTTTTCAATTTTTAACCATTATTCTCTCATCTAATAGTCAAAATTGATAATTGTTGTGTATTATAAAAATAAGAAAATGTGGTTCAGTTGCCAATGAGATTGCGAATGAGACAACCCTCCAACAGAGACCAAATGACACATTAACACATATGTACAAGTATTTTCAGTCAGGTCGAAGTTAAATCGGCAAGACTAACACTCACTTCTTAATCCCAATTGCCCTTTGATATTATTTGAATTCTTTAAAAGATTTCGAAACATTCATGCAAAAAAATTGAGAATTATACGAAGCTTGTCATAAGAATTTTAAGGAAATTCTAAATCTTAAAGGCAAAAATAATAAACGCTAACAAATTATTTCATGAAAGAATAAATAAAAATATATACGACAAATTTGGACGTCAATAATTTTTCACAAATTTCGTTCATAAAATGTTATTTAAAAAAAAAAACATTGCTGATTTATTTGTTCTTTTGCAGGAGCACAACTGGTGGCGGCGGCAGTGGTGGTACCATGGTCATGATGCCTGGTGGTGACGGAGGAATTTTTCCTCCTAGTACAGGACGTGGTGGTGGTGAAGGTCGGGGATCAGACACAGGGGGGATTTTCCCTGGTGATGGCGGGGAAGGAGACCCGGGATTCCCATTTTGAATAATCGATTTAATGTCGATACAAACAGAAAAGTGATTGCAAAAATTCTATTAAAAAAATTATAATGTATTTCAATTGATCGTTTTAAGTTGTTACGTCAATTCTTTTATGAAAAGCACCTTTTTGGCATGATGTACAAGTCACCGCGGTTATCTTGTATTCATGGTCGAGTTAAGGTTTCCACAAAAATGAGACATGTGTTAAATGTGATTTTTTTCTCGAAAACGGCGTCGCCCAACTAAGTATGAAAACAGGAAAATTCTCTATCTTGACAAATGAGTAATGTATAACAACAAATACATTTGGAAGTCCGGTTTTATATGATGAAGTGCAAAAATTTCCATCCAAAACACTGTTGCTTCCAGTATTTACTCATTTATTAAGGTCTCTGAAGAGTAGTGATTACAAACAAAGTTAAAAAAAATAAAACATGACCCTGACCTTTAACTTAACCTTGACTTTAATTTCCTTTTTGGGGACCAAGGATCTCAAATTTAAAGATCCCGAGGTCCCTTTCACTTACGGTTTATAAGGGACAATAACATTTCACTAATGTTGAATACATTTAGGGAAATAAATCTCTAATGGAGTATCTATTTCGTTCCGTTAAATTATTTACGACATGCTGAGTATGCAACGAGCAATTTCAAAACAATTGATTATGTCGATAGCATTTGAAGTTGCGAAGGGGTAGTCATAACAAGTAAAACGTTATTGTAGAGATAACTCTTTTTTGTAAGTGTTCGGTTATGTGATGTGAGTTTCACAATCGAATACACCCTTCGATATCATATAAACCAAATATCTAAGAGAGGCGGATGATACCAAAGGGCAACCCAAACCCACAAGTCGAAAACAAACTGACAACGCCGTGGCTAAAAAAGAAAAAGACTAACAGACAAACAACAGTACACAAAACACAACATAGAAAACTTAAGAATGAGCAAAACGAATCCCACCAAAAACTAGGGGTGATCTCAGGTGCTCCGGAAGGGTAAGTAGATCCTGCTCCACATGTGGCACTCGTCGTGTTGCTCATGTTAATCGACAGTTTGCAAAACAAAAAAGCATCGAAGGAAACAAAGAAAGAGGTATGATCAGACCCATGATTTGGACCTTGAATTTAAAACAGGTTAATATTACCTGGACACGTAAGTGTAGAAAGGTCACGATGAGGTCATTAACATGCTCATTAAATGGCCATTACATGCATAGCTTTTCGTTGCAATTTAGTTGAGCAACGGCTTTACGCAAATGAATATTTTACACTCATGATGCTCATTAAAACCTGGGGTAAAGCTGTAACTCATATCTAAATATTAATGACAAGTTCTCATAATGAGGATATTTTGACTTTTTGTGGCTATTCTACTAAACATTGGTATATGCAAGTAGTTCGACACCTTAATGCCAATATGTAAGACACAATTCACAAATACAAACACTGATGTCCGACAGACTAATGTTCTATGCACATCTGAAGGGTGTTATTTAGTAGGTTTATAATACTTTTTTTGATTTTCGAACTTCAAGCGGCCAAAATATGCAGCATATATATCCTAGTTGATACAATAGTCCAGAGTATTCGTTTCCAATCATGATTTCCTTGATAGAGGGTTGCTGTTGACAAGGAAGCTTTTCATCCAAATATTCCAAGTGGTGTCTTCTAACATTTTACGGGCACTTTTTGGTAGGGTTCGTGTTGCTCAGTCTTAAGTTTAATATGTTGTGTTTTGTATACTCTTGTTTGTCTTTTGGTCGTTTTTTGGCTTTGTCAGTTCGTTTTCTATTTATGAGTTTGATTATCCATTTTGGTATCTTTTGCGTCTCCTTTATCATATCTTCTCCTTTCGTGGATGGCAAAAATGACAATACTCCAAACGAAATCACTAAGAATTACCACGGAAATGCGGAAATATGAACAGATCAATATGCATACGCCTTATCGCTATTTATTCCTATCCGGATAAGTTCTAAAATTACACTACTTTTCAAACCAGTTGGAGCTGTCTGTGGCCTTGTTCAAACAATGCATTGTGTATAAAATTTTCATAGAGACCTGCTTAAACCATCGAAATCACATCAAACAAAGCATTTTCAAATGTCCTTTTTCCAAACCTTTCCTCCCTCAGCTCATTGCTGATGACCTTTGTTTTGCTCCACCTGACCTCAACAGGAAGTTGTCTAAGTACCTGTTTTTCCCGGATTGGACTAAATAGCGATAAGGTGTATTAGAATTAACCTACCAATAAAAAAATAAAATAAAAATAATTATTCGTAGTATAATTAGGATGGTAAGTATTTTATGTATTAAAAACATTTGAACTTTTATGAAATAACACAAAACAGGAGTAGAATTTCAGGTGTCAAAGTTTCATACATTACAAAGTTAAAAGGCAAATCGTGTGCATCATGCTTTGATAAACGTTTAAGTCGTAAAATTAATGCGTAATTGAGTTATTGTAATACTGTATAAAAATTGAGTTATTGTAATACTGTATAAAACATACGAGTGAATATGAGCAAAAGAAGAAATACTTACTTTACATATATCGCACAGCAGTTTCTCCTGGATGAATTAAAAACGTAGAAATCTTTACTTCTAAGTTTCTAATGGTGCAACTCAAAGTGATAAAAGGAAAGCTTGTGATACAATTCAAGCACAATAAAATATCTCCTAAAATTACGACTATCTTAAGACAGTTAAAAGACACCTTAATTGATGTCCATGACTTCAGTGTCCAAGACAATTCATATGACGTACCATAAATGTAAGTTGCGACATGTTTGATAAACTAATGTAGAACAAATGTATGTCCTAAGATAGTCCTAGACCTATGACTGCTTTGAAAAAACAAGCCACACAACCATGTTTAACATGTACGTAAATGATTTATGACTATCCTTATATAATCTTCAGTCATGTCTTATATGAAGACGTATTACATAATAACCAGACGACAGATAATTACGTCACTTGATGTCTTGATGGATATGTCATGCGCAGAGAGCTGCTCCATTTACGGCAATGAGGATTTTGCGACCCTAGAATCGATTCATATGGTTCCATCCTGGGGGCGATGCTGACATTTAACACAAAAACTGATTCTAACGGTTTAACTCTACAACTGATTCTGACAGTTGTACACTATAATTGATGAATACAGTTCTACCTTACAACTAATTCTGACAGTTCTATCCTAAACAATAAATGGGTAAAACTGTTCTAGAACAGTTTTGAACAATTGAATGGCCGATTATTCTTGCAATTCTAACGAACCGATCGAAACTGTAGATAAAGACCACCCATCACGGTACATAACATTTCCAGAGACCCCCCAGTGAATGCAAAGGTATTTGCAAGGCATGATGACATTTTACGACTTAAGGATGTACTTAGGTGAGGTTTTGGAATAAGTGTCAAATGTTCGGACTCCTCAGTGTTTTTCCATACGATACAAGGTAAAATATTTTGCCCCATAACACCTATTTATCTTTTAACATAAGACTTAATAGCTCATAAATGGTCATTTGACAAAATTTAAGCAGATTCTTGATTTTCTTTCTTTTGATTTGAGACCAAAATAATACCAATGCAAATATAAGGTAAAAGTCCGAGTCAGCCTTTTACCGCCATATTTTATAAATCAAATATCTCGAAAAGGAGCTCCATGACCTATCAATATTTTTAGCTTATTTTGATCCTTAACTAATACTCTTCCAGCTTAAAGTATCAATTTTGAATTCTTGATTTATTTAATTTTACCTTAGATCACCTAAGTACATCCTTAAGGGTGCATATATGATGATTTAATTAATACTAAATACATTAAAACTTAATGTAGAATATATACAGAACCGTTAGGTCATGACAAAACAATTGTTTTAGTTTTGTATTTTTAGCCAAAATAGAGACGGCGGTGAGATTAAAAAAAAAATTAATATACACTTTTTTCCCGATTTTCAGGATTGAAAACTCTTTAATGTGACCTTTGGTCACCAAATAAATGCATGAAATATTGTAACTGGGTCTGGTGGTGTTTTGAGAATATATAATAAAGAACAAAACATATAAAGAATAGAGAAAAATAGGCCAAAAACTAAAGAATAGAGAATAATGGGGTGTTCAAAAATAAAAAAATAGAGAGAAAAATGATCTAAAAATTAAAGAATAAAGAATGGAGGACCCCATCAAGATCCTCCTGTAACTACAGAATGTCTACACATATTCATACGTATTTAGAAAAGGTAAACCTCCAAGTTCATCGGCATATTAGTTAGCTTCAGTTGTCCTCACGAAGTTCTTTTAAAAATTTGAACTTGGAATAATTCCTTTTGAAATGCAGATGTTATTACAGAAAGTGTGGCTTTTGCTTGAATTAGCCATAAAAAATAATATATGTCAAGTAAAGTGTATTAAGTTCTGGTTTCGAAGGTAACCTAGGACCAAGACATGTCCTAGGTGGTCCAAGACATATGTTATTCTTATTTGATGTATTCTAAAGTTCGCAAATAAGTTCTGATTAATCCTAAAATACATAATTTTATTACATCAAAATACATGTCATATATATATGTAGCAGTAGTTTACCGATTTTCAAATTTAAGATTGAATGAGGATAGTCGTCATATTATTTCCTTTAAAACTTTATCGATAAAACTTTCAGTCGTCAATATTTAAGATGTTATAAGAAGGTCTGGATGTGGGTCTTTCAATTCTGTATTCTTTAATTTTTCAAGCCATTTTTCTCCATTCTTTATAAAAAAAATGTCCTGGTATTCTCTATTCTTTATATTTTATCAACCCATTATTCTCTATTCTTTATTTTTTTGGCCTATTTTTCTCTATTCTTTATATTTTTTGCACTTTATTCTGCACGTTTTGTCCATTATTCTCTATTTTGTAAACCCCATCCAGACCCTCTTATAAGACTCGACACTGTCACTGATAATACATTAATAGAAATAAAACAAGCTAGGCAACTTATGTAATAGGTATTGTCCCTGAAATATATTCCCTTAAGATT